CATATACGTTACATGAATTCATAAAGTATTTATAGATGACGTACAAAAATGTCGATTATAATCGAAACTGTTCTTGCCTCGTACTTCGAACTTAAACCAACTTAATAAATAAGTTCTGATCGACTTTTGTTTTAGCCTCTATCGATCCTTCAAACATAGTTCCACGAATATATTACCACCTAATCGTGTTGCACCGATTAATTTCTCACCCAAGCCGCCATTTCTTCGAGAATATCGACGAGAGATCAAAAAAGTTAGTTCGAAAAGTTTTTTGGTACCGAAAATGGATCCCTTTCTCACTTCTTCCATCGTTCGTAAATACATTAGCGCGTGGGATTATTCGCAACGAGTGAACCACAAGTTACGTATCGCAAAACTGTGAAAGTTGGATGGACTCGTACGTTAGAGAGGCGGTTGTTTTGGTCGAATGGAAATTGGATTCCGGGCGGCGAGGTGTCGAAGGAGGGGATGAAAAATTTGGATTAGATAAGAAACGTACGCGGGGGTGGTTGTAGATGGAATGTAATATCGTTGGAAAGTAGATCGAAGTTCGGCGTGAAATGGTGCAGGGAACTGGGCTGCGGTGTGAGATTTGTTGCGAAATCGTGCAGACATCTCTTGAAATATATAAAGCTGCGTTTCAGATTGATGCACACACAACATTTAGATGATAATTAATTAAATCTCTATCGATTTACCGTTAGAAAATTAAAAAAATAAAGTGTATACATTAAAAACAAAGGAAAAGATGAAATTCGAATCATGAAAAAGGATGGAGCGAATAATCTAGTGGCAAAGAGGAAGACATATATTTCTCGTTCGAATGGAACACGAGCGAGTCATTATCGAAGAAGCCATGACGAGGATTGTAATTATCAGCAAAATTATTCGGAGGAATCTATCGTTTCCATTATCCCCATGCTCGATTAAATTCGAAGACAATGATCGACTCAGCATAACGGTAGCGTGGCTGCTCGCTTTTACTCGTTGAATTCGGGAAAAAGAGAGAGCGCAATAATCGAAATTCGCATTTTGCATGCGAGAATCGATGGTTCCAATTTCTGGCCGGGTGCACGTAGAAGATGGCCGAGTTGTTGATGGAATATAAACCAGAGACCGTCAGTCAGATATAGAAAACGTCTAAATCCCTTTGGAAGACCGTTCGTGTTGAACGTGTGTCGAGGATCGATGCATCATGGGGAACGTGACACGTGTGTACCTTAGAATTAGCTATTTAACGCAATCATTTTTATTGAAAAAGAAGATTTTTCGGAATGAACGATGATAATTTATCGAGAAAAATAATGATAAAAGGAGGATGAACTTGAAAAATATTCTCAGAAATCTTACTGTCTTCTATGAAGAAAATTTTTGAACGAGATGGATGAGAGTTTATCAAGAGAATTATATTATGGGGGAAGGAAAAAATTTTCGTCTTCCACGAAAGGGGAAATTTTTATAAAATTTGAGAAGTGAAGGAATTAAGAAAACGTGACGACATTAACAAAGCGAAGAAAGTTTCAATGTCCTCCTGAATTTTGAACAGTGGACACCTCGTTCATAACGAGGAACGGAATTTGAATAACAGAAACAGATGAGGTATGAATTATATTTAAATCGGTTTCATCTTCGTGAAGAAGGATAATACCTCCATTCGAATTCAAATTTATTCGAGAAGGGAAGCTTATAGTTTTTCATTTCCACTTGTTTTCAACCCTGTTTTCTCAAATCAGATTGTTTCGATCGGGCTTCTCCACAAATTTTCAATCAAGAGAGATCGCAAAAAAATAAATTTTTCCCTCTCGAATAATTCGAAGAAAATGGGAAGAAAAAAAAAAATTACGATCCAACTATGGTAAAATTATTTTTCTATCGATTCCAAGAGCATCACAATCGGAAAAAGTGTACATTTATATACGATTATATACGATTATTACCCTACCGGATATTTTCGTTGCCACGATCGAGCTATCGTCGTACGAGGAATATATTTTCCTCGCGCACTCTACTCGCCCCCCCCTCCACATTTGCCGAGGCCTGCATCATGGTAACACCATCGTGACGGTGTTGCAACATCGCTATTTTACTATTCTACGCGAGGCGGCGGTGGACGTGTTTGCCGCAACTTTGGAACACGTTTCCGCCCGGCTTTCTCGCGTGAACGCTCTTAAAATGCATCCACGATGGAGCAATCTCGCGTGCTTTTTATTCCAGATGGATTTTTCTTTGACGTCCACTGCCTGCCCCTATTTTTCCGTGTATTAATGCGTACAATTATCCAGTTTATGCTAATTGGTTTTAAAAGTAACCTTATAATATGCATTTATCCATATATTTTATTTATTTATTTTTTAAATAATTTGGCTATATTAAAATATGAAATAACGCGAGAGATTAATTACATTATAATACGGGTTGAAATGTACGTATTACTTTTTTTATCAAGTTTGTGTCAATTTATTCGAGATATCCAGACAAGAACTTTAACGTTCGATTGATATATCAGATGCGACACACGAAATTCACAATGCATCGCGTGTATATATATATATATA